GCCATCCCCCAAAGGGGCCCCCACCCCCCCAGCTGCGACTTCAGCCTCTCCAAAAGGAGGTCCTGCTACCCCACCCCCCAAAGGGGCCCCAGCTACAACTCCTCCCTCCCCAAAAGGAAGTCCAGATACCCCACCTCCCAAAGGGGCCCCCACTCCCCCAGCTGCAACTCCTTCTTCCCGAAAAGGAGGCCCAGCTATGCCACCCCCCAAAGGGGTCCCCACTCCCCCAGCTGCAACTCCGACCTCTGCAAAAGGAGGTCCAGCTACCCTACCTCCCAAAGGGGCCCCCAGTCCCCCAGCTGTAACTCCTCCCTCCCCAAAAGGAGATCCAGATACCCCACCTCCCAAAGGGGCTCCCACTCCCCCAGCTGCAACTTCAACCTCCCCAAAAGGAGGCCCAGCTTCCCCATCCCCCAAAGGAGGCCCCACTCCCCCAGCTACAACTCCTCCCTCCCCAAAAGGAGGCTCAGATGGCCCACCCCCTAAAGGAGTCCCCACTCCCCTAGCTGTAACTCCTCCCTCCCCAAAAGAAGGTCCAGGTACCCCACCCCCCAAAGAGGCCCCCACACCCCCAGGTGTAATCCCTCCCTCCCCAAAAGGAGGTCCAGGTGCCCCACCTGCCAAAGGGGCCCCCACTCTCCCAGCTGCAACTCCTCCCTCTCCAAAAGGAAGCCCAGCTATTCCATCTCTCAGAGGGGCTCCCACTCTCCCAGCTACAACTCCCTCCCCTAAAGGAGGCCCAACTACCCCATCCTCCAAAGAGGGCCTCACTCCCCCGGCTGCAATTCCATCCCCCAAAAGAGGCCCAGCTACCCCATCACCCAAAGGGGACTCCACTTCCCCGGCAATGATTCCTCTCTCTCCCAAAAAGGCTCCAGCAACTCCGGTTGCCAGAGAAGGCCCAGCTACCCCATCCAAAGGAGATTCCACTTCCCCAGCAGTGACTCCTGTCTCCCACAAAAAGGCCCCAGCAACTTCAGGCCCCAAAGGAGGCTCAGCTACCCCATCCCCCAAAGGAAGCCCGGCTACACACCCCAAAGGGGTACCCACTCCCCCAGCTAAAACTCCCTCCCCTAAAGGAGGCCCAACTACTCCATCCTCCAAAGAGGACCCCACTCACCCAGCTTCAACTTCCTCCCCCAAAGGGGACCCTACTTCCCTAGCAGTGATTCCTGTCTCCCCTAAAACGGCTCCAGCAACTCCAGTACCCAGAGGAGGCCCAGCTACCCCATCCAAAGGAGATTCCACTCCCCCAGCAGTGACTCCTGTTTCCCCCAAAAAAGCCCCAGCAACTTCAGCCCCCAAAGGAGGCCCAGCTACAACTCCTTCCCCTAAAGGAGGCCCAACTACCCCATCCTTCAAAGGGGAACCCACTTTCCCAGCAGTGACTCCTCTTTCCCCCAAGGAGCCTCCAGCCCCCAAACAACCCCCTACTTCCTCCTCTCCCAAAAAGGCCCCCTCAACTGCAGCCCCCAAAGGGGGCCCCACTCTGCCAACTGTGATTCCTTCTTCCCCCAAAGAGGTCCCCACTACCCCATCCTCCAGAAGGGACCCCACTCCCCCAACAGTGACTCCTCTCTCTAAAAAGACCCCAGCAACTCCAGCTCCCAAAGAGGCCCTCATTCCTCCAGCTATGACTCTTCCCTCCTCCAAAAAGACCCCATCAATTTCAGCCCCCAAAGAAGCCCCAGCTACTGTATCCTCCAAAGAGACCTCCAGTCCCCCAGCAGTGACTCCTCCCTCTTACAAAGAGGTCCCCATTCCCCCAACTATGACTTCTCCCTTTCCCAAACAGGCCCCTGCTACTCCAGCTGTGACTCCTCCATCCCCCAAAAAGGGCCCAGCAACTCCAAGCCCCAAAGAGACTCCCACTTCGCCACCTGTGACTCCTTCCTCCCTCAAAGACTCTCCTACCTCCCCAGGTTCTGTCACATGTAAAATCGGGGCCACTGTTCCTCAAACATCTAAAGGGCTTCCAGCAAAGAAAGGCCCCACAGCTCTGAAAGAAGTACCTGTTGCCCCAACTTCAGAAAGTATGCCAATAATCACAGCTCCCACTGGGAAAGGCCCACAGACTAAGAAGAGTTCTGCTACTTCATCTCCTAAGTGCCCAGATCCCTCAGCTAAGAATGGTACTAAAGGACCTCCTTCCACAGTGGCTCCAGCCCCTCTACTCCCTGCTCAGAAAGGCTCTTCAAAGACAGCAAAAGGCAAAGATGCTTCTCATTTCCCAAAGGGCCCCTTGGCTGCTCCTGAGTCTCAGGCATCCATCCCTCTAACAGCATCTGTCTCTCTAGCACCCACCCCACCAGTCTCTCTGCCTCTTGCTTCCTCCCCAGTTCCCCCTCTGCCTCCTACACAGCAATTTCTGCCGTCCTCTCCTGGGCTGGTGTTGGAATCACCCTCTAAACCCCTAGCCCCTGCTGATGAGGATGAGCTGCCGCCTCTGATTTCCCCGGAGCCAATCTCTGGGGCAGTGCCTTTCCAGTCGGTCCTCGTCAACATGCCCCCCCCTAAACCTGCTGGAATCCCTGTCCCAACCCCCTCTGCCAAGCAGCCTGTTATGAAGAACAACAAGGGTATTTGCCTTGGTTTGCTGTGTGCATGGTGTGTCTGTCCCCACACCCCTCTTGGGGGCTAGCCACCAATACTAACACTGTGATGCGCCGCTTTCTTCAGTGAATCTGCTTGAGTTTTGACATAGAACATAGAATGATAATTTTAAATGCAAAAGTTCTAGGAATACGAAACCAAATCTTGGTTTTCATCACTTCAGATAGATACGTAGTACCTTGTATATCTTGTGTGGCCCAGGCTACCCTGAAGCCTGCCATGCCTTCTATTTTACCTAGTGTATCTGACATTGAAAACCAAGACCTGCCAGACCTTTAATTTGCTCTAATCTCTACCACATCACTAACCTTGTCCCTGGGCCTGAGATTTGCTAAAATATTAGAGAATTGAACTATTTGTATTTCTTTTTCCCTTCTTAGACTTAGTAATGACCAGTTACCCAGGGACTCCCTTTTCATAAAAATGTAGAAACCTGTTTTTTCTAGCCTGAAAATGGTGCAGGCATATGCTTTTTTTCCTCAGTAGTCTTTACTGATGCTTGGCCTTTCAATTGAGAGAAACTTACGTGAATTATGTTTGGGAAAATTAGAGTTACAGATCAACATCATTGAGAATCTTCTAACTATATTGATTAGATCACATTGCTGGGGTGAAAGGTTTGAAAATGAGGCTGAATATGTGTACATGACTGCTTTTGACTTCCTCCAACCCAGTTAAAAGTTGAGGGGAACAGCACCCTACCTGTTACGCCTCCACCGTGTGATTTCACTGGTTCCCCCCCACACACTTAAGCGTATCTGGGGGCACCTTCTGGCAGAACTTTTCAGGGACAATTGGACTATTGGGTAAAATTTAGAGTCATATGGGTCATTATTTGCCTGTGCCAAGAAACAAAGACCTTGAGGGAAAGAAAGCAGTATATTAAACTGCTCAGCTCTTTCTAGCGATTACTCCTCATTTCTGGGTTTAGGGCTGGGTCTTTACTAGATATATACACTAGTTAGTGACTAAGGGGCCATCAGATTGGCTTCACACAAGCCAGTTGGTTTACATTTAACATTCTGAGGTTTAGCATGAGCCATTGACTTCTAGTCCAGGTGGGCTGTGGTGAAGTACCTTCTCTTATAATTTCTACTATAAGGTAGTAAAAGTTGCTTCTCATCTTAGGATCTGGAACAGAATCTGACAGTGATGAATCAGTACCAGAGCTTGAAGAACAGGACTCCACCCAGGCAACCACACAACAAGCCCAGGTGGGTATTCTTTAATAACTGGTATAAGTAATTGGGTCAAGGAAGCAGGGTTGATCAGAGCGACTTTTGTATTTGGAACTGTGACCCTTCATAAAGGAAAAACCACATGGAGATTGTACTATCCAGATCTTAGATTCTGGTTAACCAACAGCTGTTTTATCCTCTTAGCTGGCGGCAGCAGCTGAGATAGATGAAGAACCCGTCAGTAAAGCAAAACAGAGTCGAAGTGAAAAGAAGGCACGGAAGGTAAGATTTATTTGAAAAGGATTTCAGGGCCAGGTGCGGTGGCTTACGTCTGTAATCCCAGCACTTTGGGAGGCTGAGGCAGGTAGATCGCCTCAAGACTAGCCTGACCAACATAGTCAAACCCTGTCTCTACTAAAAATACAAAAAATCACCTGGGCGTGGTGGCAGGTGCCTGTAATCCCAGCTACTGGGGAGGCTGAGGCAGGAGAATCGCTTGAACCCAGAAGGCAGAGGTTACAGTGAGCTGAGATCACGCTATTGCTCTTGTTGCTGGGCAACAGGAGTGAGACTCCGTCTCAAATAAATAAAATTTTAAAAAAAGAAAAGGATTTCAGGATCTCATGAAGCACCTTTACAGAGAGAGGAACTCTTTTTTTTTCTATTTCTGTAGGTTTTGGGGGAACAGGTAGTATTTTGGTTATACAAGTAAAGCAACAGAAGTAGCGGGGTTGGTGTCTCACACCTGTAATCCCAGCACTCTGGGAGGCCAAGGCAGGTGGATCACTTGAGGTCAGGAGTTCAAGACGAGCGTGGCCAACATGGCGAAACCCCATCTATACTAAAAATGCCACACACAAAAATAGCACGGTGTGGTGCTACATGCCTGTAGTTCCAGCTACTGAGTTGGCTGGGGCGCAGCAATTGCTTGACCCTGGGAGGCAGAGGTTACATTGAGCTGAGATTGCACCACTGCACTCCTGACTGGGTGACAGAGCAAGAACTGTCTCAAAAAAAAAAAGGTAACAGAAGTTACTATGGCAGAAAAGCCATTCTCTATTTTATGAACGTATCTTAGCCTGGGGAAAGGCATTGCTTTGGATGTTGTATTGTTTCTTGCTTCTTTAGGATGCTTCTAAAGAAGCTGAAAACTTGATATTATTTTCTCTTTAGGCTATGTCCAAACTGGGTCTTCGACAGGTTACAGGAGTTACTAGAGTCACTATCCGGAAATCTAAGAATATCCTCTTTGTCATCACAAAACCAGATGTCTACAAGAGCCCTGCTTCGGATACCTACATAGTGTTTGGGGAAGCCAAGGTGAGTAATGTTTTCTTGGGAATTGCTCTAGACCAGGGTTTCTCAACCTCAGCACTGCTGACATTTTGCATCCAGTAGTTCTCTGTTTTGGGAGGGCTAACCTGTGCATTATGGATGTTTAGCAGCATCGCAACCAGTTTTGATTACCCAGAATACTCCATTGCCACGTACCCCCTGGGAGACATAATTACCCTCAGTTGAGAACCACTGCTCTAAACCTAAACAACTACTTTTTATACTGTGATACATACTGTGAATGAGGGCAAGCAGTTTAAAGCTATACAGTAAGTTACCTGAAGTGAGTTTACAGAGAGAATTGTGAAACTATATGATTTCCTTTTCAATGACTGCAGACTGATCTACTCACATGGATCTGTATTCTCTACCCTGTAGATCGAAGATTTATCTCAGCAAGCACAACTAGCAGCTGCTGAGAAATTCAAAGTTCAAGGTGAAGCTGTCTCAAACATTCAAGAAAACACACAGACTCCAACTGTACAAGAGGAGAGTGAAGAGGAAGAGGTATACTAGGAATAGGAAATCTTTTATACTTTTAACTCACGCCGCATAGCAATGTGTTTGTGCTGGTGAGTGGGTTTTATATTGTTGAGGCTCTCAAACCCTGTTAAGTAATTTTGAGCTATTAATATAGCTCCCAACACTTTGGGAGGCCAAGGCACGTGGATCAGCTAGATTCAGGAGACTCCAAAGAACTGCTGAAATTGTTCTTGCCTTTAATTTACTGCTTTTTCCCTCTCCTCTCTCAGGTCGATGAAACAGGTGTAGAAGTTAAAGACATAGAATTGGTCATGTCACAAGCAAATGTGTCGAGAGCAAAGGCAGTCCGAGCCCTGAAGAACAACAGTAATGATATTGTAAATGCTATTATGGTAAGTGTTCAAGCCTTTGTTCCTTGATTCCCTCTGCCCTGACCAATTATGAGTAACTTTATTTTCTCTGCTAAATATCAGCCAGTTAGGGAACCTCATTCCAGAGCCTCTTCTGAGTTGCCATAGGTTTTAGTGACCTGAATTCTCCTGGTTTGCCTATAAGAACCACTAATTATCTTTTCTCTCTTACAGGAATTAACAATGTAACCATGTGAAAGCAACTTTTTTTGGTGTCTCAAAGGAGCAACTGCAGCTTGGTTTGAAATTTGTACTGT